AGAATGTTTCGACCTCTATTGGTATATGGGCTCCTGTGCGGATGTCTCGATGTTTCCTGAGTGTTAACTATGGCAATTTCCTTGGTTGTGGCTAGCAGAGGAATCCAAGACGCATGTTTCATCCTATTTGCGACTCATCAGCTGGGTGTACCTGCACTCCACTGAGTGCTGTTTTCCCCATTGAGACTCGAAACCAGTACCACTCACCTCAACCTCTAGAGCGTTATCCACCAAGCCACTAGAGCACGAAAGCGACGCCTGTGTAACAGGTATCAGTTGTTTATCGGAACTTTTAATTTTCCGTTGATATACAGGGTCAAACTGCTGGACCTCTGTGGGTGGATGGGCTCCTATGCAGATGCCTCGATACTGCCGGATATTCATGATGTTGTAGTCATCTTGGTGACGAGTCCCATTTCGGACAAAATAAACATCCTGGAATCCACTGCTGGTTGCCAAGATGAGTAGAGCATCATAACTACCCGGTAGTATCGGCATTGGAGCCCGTCTACCCACAAAGCTCAAACAGTTTGACCACGTATATCAATGGGAATTTACAAGTATCATCACAACTTTATTTATGACCTTTATTGACAATTTCGTCAAACGTTTAACAGTGATTGACTTCATTTGTTTCATTCTGTTTCCTTTTTCTATAATCTCAATATTATTTCTCCGGTGGGACTGATCACTTTGAACAGATGACTTTTGTCTGTTTGTGTAGTCTTTGCGTTGAAGGAAAGGTGGATTTGAAGATCTACGCACGTGTCGTTTTAAATAAGAACATACTTGATTTAAACGAGAAAATGGGTAATTTGAATCAACTTGTAGATAAATGAGATAGAGATATGGAGAGATAGGGGGAGGGAGCGAGAGATAACGACAATTGGAAGGAAACTGAACAGAGGGGAGAACTTTTCAATTTTATCCTATTGTTTATACATTCTTTTTCTGTCAGTGATTGATGAGTTAGACATGTTTCATCGTTTTGAAATATAACCTCTTCATTCACTCTCGTTTTATACAGATTTGTCCTAAGTTTTTCACTTTAGAAGGAAAAAACTGTTTTGTCTACTGTTTCTTTTCCTTTATATATTGTACACCCGTGAAAAATTGACTGTTTGTTTTTGTTAAATTTAATGAAAAGTCGCTTGACTGGTAGTTTGACTGGGTAGTTTGATTTTGCTTTAAAGAAAAGAGAACAAGGATTCCTTGAGTTAACTGTCCAAATAAAAACACTTGCACACTCATGCATAAGTAGACAACACGCAGGCTGATGACGTTTTGTTATTTCTTCTATAAACTTTCTATGAAAAACACCAAAACCATGCTTATTATGTGTAGTATTATATTGATAATTTAAGGAAATATCAACCCCTTAATTTTTTTTCTCGGTATTTTTGGATATGTGCTATTTTCGTTGTTTTTGATGATTTATTCAACCTACTGTTTGTACATTTTCAAGTGTTCCCACTTAAGGTAATGAAATTAGTAAACAAAAAAGGCATTATATTAATTTCCAGTTTCACTGTTTCCCTCTTCTCCTGCATACACAGGTGTCTAATATCAACAAATAAGTGAATATAGATATATAGAAGTGATCTGTTTTACTAAACTTTAAGGATTGTCTCCAACATAAGCTAAAATCCTACAAGGAGCCACTAAACTTCAGGGAGCAGTGGGTAGTTGCTTTATCTTTGTTTAAGACTCCTTCATAGTGTCCGTCTGAAATTTCATACTACTTTGAGTTTACGACAGTCAGTTCTTGTGATAAGCGCTTTACACTTTAACTTCTGAAATGGAATTCAAAAACCTCAGTGGTTGGATAAAAGCAAATAACTGTCATCTTCCTCCTGAGCTACAAATCTCTATCATGAAATAATCTTTTAAACATTTTGTTAACATTACCTGGTCCCACTAACCTTTCACTTCGCATAAATGTTCACCGTAAAGAAAAGTCAGGTTGATAGTGTCAGAAAGTAGCTAGAAGTGAAATCCGGGATGCACATTTCGTCCTACTTTTGACTCACCAGGTGTATGTACCTGCCTCACAGTGAGTGATATCGCTCTTACAAAGGCTTGAACCTGAGACTGAACGCTACAAACGCTAGTGTTGTCCACTAGGTCACTGAGTTACGACAGCCACTTCTTATGCGACGGGTACAGTTTTATGTTGTTGCCTGTAATATCTCGTCATTGAGCGAACCAAATTGATCCACTCAATAACGGAAATTACAAACAATAACAGAACGAAATCAGTTGTTTAATAATTAGGCAGGTAAATATACGCACAAACATGTGCATTATCATCAGTGCAGTAATATGAACAATCATGTGGATCAAGATTCTCTTTAATTTACAACATATAGATTGTATACATAAGCGAATACTACTGGTTAAAGTTTTGATTCAATGTTTATTTAGAAATAATTCACGTATAAGTGAGTTATTGTCCAGTTATGAGTAGACAGAAGTGTTGTCTACAAACTTAAAGCTGAAAAAACCATCTGGTGCATAATTTGACTTCAGTCGATTTCCTTCTGTTTCTTATGTTCATTTCACATGTACACAGTCGAAATGAAGAAATATGCGAGCATACATACACACACACACACACACAGAAAGGCCTATAATTTCGATGTACAGCTACCATGAATGACTTATAAAGCTTTGTTGTGGCAAATTATCCTGGCTGGTGGTTTTCAGAGTGAGCATAGTACGAATTTATTTGTATTTACATGTGTGTACGTGTGTAGAGTGCAGTAGTTTCAAAAATCAATTCAGTCACTTGTTCACCAACATTGTTCATATACCTTTTTTATATTAGACTGTTGCTATTTATTCGCGAATAGATTTCTTCTCTTTAGTTGAATTCAATAGACACGCGACCCTTCTATCTATTAGAATCTTGACTTTTGTTTTCATAGCCTTTATCCACATATTCTTTTCCTCACCAATTTTGCTAAGTCAAGTTTTTATCCTACCACTAAAGTGACAGTGATTGATGTGCAACCTCAAAAAGTAATGAGCAAGATTTTATGTTCAAAATGGTTTCCTCTTTTTTCCGCCTAGTGTATCAAATTAAAAAAACACGACTTTCTCTTTCATTCTGAAACGAGTTGATCTGTATTGTATGTATATTTTATTCTTCTCTTTCAAAATTTTCAGAGACAAACAAACTCTAACAAACAAAAAAGAAGAAAAAGATAGGGAACTGTCCTCAGGGAACGTGTATAAGAGTCTGTGTGTATGTGTACATGTGTCTGTGTATGTTGTGCGCACATACGATATGTATGTTTGTATTTCGAATGATATACGAAACTGATAAATTCGATTAGATTCTGTCACTGTTAAGATTAACGATATAGAGTTGGAATTATTGGGATAGGAATTATAGTCTAGATGGCTACTGATACTTTCTATTGGTGTTCGCAGTAATGATTAATATATAGTTAGTGTCTTATTATGTACAATATACATAAAGAATATGATTATGGAATAGTAAAGCAGTGAGTAGAAAATTAGTATTTCCATAGTCATTATTCATATATTCAAACAAAAGATGGTATAATGTGATAAATGGTATTTGGTTCCAACCAAATACTGAGAAAATGAAATGTATCTACTGATAGCTCAGTTAGTGTGACATAACTATCTAAAGAACTGAGCGATTGTGTGCTTGTACAGGTTTATTACAGTTCTTGTCCCAAGTGTGAACTCCACTGTCTTCACCTATCTTGAAGTAGCGAGCAACAGTCCATTTATTCGACAGGATGTATGCAATCACTAGCCCTATTCTCAAACAGAAGAATTGTACTGTGCACTTTAGCTTTTGTTAGTTCTTCAGCTTTGCGAAATTTTTCCCAGTAATAGTAACCTGCCAGAAAACACAGTATTATTGTTTTTAAAAATATGTGCTTTGAAAAATCTAAGTTTTGTTTTAGAAAAAGCGGTTTATACCTTATTCCTTAATTTTTAAGGATTTCAAATGAGAATCTGAGTAGTAACTAGCTTACTGGTAAAACTTTTAGGTTCATCACTTGATCTCTTGTGAGATGTAAGATATTCATTTCGTTTCATTGATCTTGGTAACTAGCAGAGGAATCCAGAATGCATTTTTCGTCCCACTTGAAAGTCGTCGGCTGGATGTACCTGCACCTCCAGGGAGTGATGATGTTCCCACTGAGACGGGAAATTACAAGTATCAAAACAACAACTGACAGCCTTCGCAAAAGAGGTGGCTGTTGTGCCCTAGTTGCTTCGTGGATGGCGCTTTGATGTTTGAAGCGGTAGGTACTGGTTTTGAGTCTTAGTGGGAACAACGTCACTTAGTGAGGTGGAGGTACATCCAGCTGACGAGTCCAAAATAGTTTGAAACCCTCACCCTAGATTCCTCTCCTAGTCACCGAAACGGGTATAACACATTGTCCATTTGAAAAAATTAGAAGAAATGATTGGATATAATTTCATCGATGACATGCAGATTTAAGTAGTTTAAAAATCCCCAACTAAGTCGAAAATCAAAGGACGTTTAGAGGAGAGTCGCCCTTTTCAGCGATATCATTCTCAAGCCGTACATTCAATTGTATATAAATATCATACTCACACAGTAATAGAAAAGGAAGTAAAAAGAATTTTTTGGCGAAATTTTGTTTTGATTATAAATCAGGAGATTGGCAAAAGTATTAAGTAATGAGAAGAAGACTCATCAAAACCTGAGCTACTTGGTTAAATGATGTGATACAGTTATAAGGGCTGGCGAATGTATTGAGAAGTCAGAATTTTAAGGGTGGCATTATGTACTGCGCAAGAAGACAAGATATGCTCGTTACCAAGTGAAAGAAAAGATTTTGAGGGTAAAATGTTTTTATAGGTCAAGTCCATTGGAACTGAAATATTTGGACAAACTTATTTTGAATGCATAAATATAGATTTTTGTACATATAGATTAGAACAGAGATGTCTTTATTGGCTTACTTTTGTTTTATACTATTGAACAGGATCACAGAAAGATGTTATAGACGAGTTAGATGCTGAGACTAGAAGTGATCTGAAAAGACAGAAAAAACGTGGAATATTTCCAAAAGTTGCTACAAACATTATGAGAGCATGGCTTTTTCAGCATTTAACAGTAAGTTAAAAATACTTTACGCATTTTAAACTTATATTGACAACAGACTATTGTATACTCTAAAGGAACGCCATATAAGTGCTGATTAAAAGAAGTTACCCCTAGGTCGCTATCATACAGATCTTTGGCATGAATCCCGTAGTAAAGGTGGTTATGTTGAAAACTTATCCATCATTCCTGTAAATGTAGATCCACTGAACCAACCAGCATAACCTGATACAGTTCAAATATTATCATATTCCAAAGCTATATTTTTTTTCAATTTCTTACTTTGGAAACAGACCTGAAATAAACTTTCAAATTAGCCTTCAGTAGTATTATTTTCAGTAAAGCTGACCATACACATAATGATAAAAGAATGATTAGAAATATCATCAAATGACAAGAGGAGTTGGAAAATGCTTATCCATCATCATTAATGATGAGCTCAGCTCAAAAAGAGTGGAATCATATTCCAGTGTGTCAAATACACTGATCTAGCTGATGGTATTGGCTGATTACTATAAGTGGTATTCAGTAATTGATTTCATCAATAACGACACCTCCGCTATTCTAGCTGCTTCTGTATCGATTATAGCATGATTTGTCGTCTTCGTGGTGTAATTTTTAATTAGAAGATCATGGGAATCACACCTGAAGGAATAAAACTGCTTTATCTGTGACTGATAGAGGTTATGTAATGCAGTCTGTCAACAGTTTGAGCATACTTTAAGACAAACAACGAATATGAATCCCTATCTTAGCATGTAAAAAGACAGATAGCTTCAACTCTAAATCTCTTTTGATATTTATGTGAATTTTATGATGTAGGTTCCGATGACACCAGTCTACTGACTTTAGTATTGTTATAAAATGAATTAAGGAACGTAAGAAATTATTCACTGACTGCTCAAAATATGAGACGTTCACCTACAATGTTTATTATGCCCCTACTTATTTATTGTTCATCCCAAATTAAGATACCTCGGGGTTAAATTATATCATCATAAAAAAATATGTTTAAAACCGAAGTGAAGAACTATCTTGTGAGGTATTAAAAAACACAGTGGATTTGAAATAAGTTCAAAAACTAGATAATATATGTTTAAGCATAGTTTGTTTATTCTGTGTAGAGGCCTTTGTAACTAGAAGGTCATAGGTAACTACTTTTCAGCCCTAAAACTAATTACTTACTATTTGTTCACTTCTCAACTAGCCTATGATGCAAAGACTAGCAAACTAAAAGCGCTAACATATGTTGGTATCGATCATTTCACCAAGGAATTGATGCCTATGGTAAACCTAAATTCAGTATAGGTTGCATTGCTGCACTTACTCAGGGTGGAGAAAATACAACGAAAATTATTTCATAAGTAGATCGTCTACCCACTTTTTTGCAATTCGAAATGAAGATGAGAATTCAATTCACCTGAAAATTAGGAATAAAATAGATTTTTGACGAAGACCACTTAGAAATACATCATACGTTTGTCTACATACTGTAAACAATCCTAATTTGAAGAATTAATAGACGGAAGAAAAGCGAAGAAGAGATTAAGCCAAAAATGATACAGTTTACGATTTATAAATCACAAAGAAATGGCTACAGACCTACAAAATCAGATAGTCAAACCCTACGAGATATCCTTAACTCACAAAGTGATTTGTAATGATGTAAAAGATTTGTAGCTCAGGATGAGGCTGATGATGATTTGGCTAACTTCTTTATGAAGTTAATCCTGAAGATGCCACCAGGCCAGGTGATGAAACGTTCACGACAAAACTTCAAAGCTCAGAGAACACCAAACCACCGTCAAAATGATTTGTACATATCACGATCACGTCTTATTAAAAACAAAAACCAAACAACTATGAGATTTTCGACCATTTCAGCATAGATTTGTAATTAATACTAGATTTTAGAAGTCACTCAATGGAAATGTCCAAACGCACGTCTAGTGCTTGCTAACTCTCACCAGCATGGTGTGCCTGAAGCCTTTCAGAGGTTCATATTGTTACAGAGATTTGAATTCTTAACACCCAGTGCTGAATTGAAACGTTTTACCTTGCAAACTGGTTATACGAAGGATGACATCGCACAAGACTGGACTGTGTATATGAATTGAATACTACCTGATAATGATGTAGCTGTAAGTTTCTGCACGGTAAAAATGTGTCTGTCGATAAAAAATTCAGTCTATTACATATAGTCGATGGAAAATCAAAACTCAAATATCCCACCCAACCCCATTCATTTCTGATTTATTTTTATTTCTGAAGCATCCTTATCCCTCTGAAGAACAGAAAAAGCAACTGGCTCAAGATACTGGTTTAACGATCTTACAAGTAAACAACTGGTAAGTAAGCCAGTCAAACTGTTTTCCAATTTTTTCGTTGTATCTTATTTCTAGAATTAAGTATAACTATGCTCTGGATAGGGATGAAACTGCTGGAATAACCAATGTTTTGTTTTTATGGATTTAAGGACGAAAGGTATTTTCCTTCAAATAGGTCGTTTTCTATTCTCATGAAATGTCAGCATGGTAATTATCATTACCCTCTTCGAAACTTTGTAAAGCAAGATGAAGAACACCTGAGATTTAAGTTCCTGCCTATCATCCTCCATTTGAATTTTTGTCCTTTGTTAGTAATTTCACTCGCATTGATCAAGGCATTCAACTTCAGAAAGATCATTCAAGTGTCTTTTAGAATTTTTCAGCATCACCGAACAAAGTACTTGGCACTTACGTGAATATAATGCACTTATAGATAGTTGCTTTTTTTGAGTCTTATTTAACAATATCATTCAGTATACATTCTTCTAGTTGATCTTACTCCAGTTTTTCGTTTTTACCTAAAGGTTCATTAATGCCCGTCGAAGGATTGTACAACCTATGATCGACCAGTCTAATAGAACAGGTAAGTAAAATCAATGTGAAATGACTATAAATTGTCTACGTTTTCTTTTCTTGAAGACAGCAGAAACAGAAACTAGGAATGAAAATAGTGATTATTGGCATTATCAGACTCAGCAGTTGTCTCAAGTTCATTCTTAAGGTTTGAGGGTAATAATGGGTTTCAGGGTGCTACTCATCATGGACTGACACTAACTGGAGAACAATTAAAAACCCGTGAGCACTAAACAGCTATTCTGTCCTAGCATAGGTATCCACAGCAGTGTGTATCTACTACTCTTCGAAAGATAGAACCCCGGACCTCCAGGTTTTGTAGTGAGAACGCTGCTCCTGAGTTGCTGGATTGGGTTTTATTGGTTTATATTTTCCTACGTCTGTCAGTTTGTGACATAATACGACTTTTCCCCGTACCAAAGTTGAGTATTTATCTCGCGTTCGACCCCTGGGAGGTTGTGGGTGCTCACTGTTGCGGAGTCCCCTACTAGGGCAAAACAGCTGTCCAGTACTCGCAGATTTTTGGTGACTCTCCTGGGGTTTCCTCTAAGTTAGACATGAGGAAGTATGTAGACCGTTTTAACGACGGCTACACTGCCATTTAAACTGCTGTGTTCATGGAGATCTTCCTAATACTGGCCACTTCAACAACCTACTGTTTGTTTTCGAAATTTCTCCTTCGTTACTATGAGTTTGGGTTTTTTAATAGACGATTCAGCGCCACTATTAGCGTAAAATCCAGGACTCACTTTTAAGGCTTCTAATGCTAATGAATGCACATAATTTATGACTGAAAAGCCCACCCACCCGTTTTGAGTGTCATAAAACTCTCCTGTGTACTAGGAGATGGTTGTTAAAATTTTAGGGAAATCTTTCAACTAATTATTTCTGTTGATGGATTCAGAAGGAGATGTAAACGATATCTTAGGTCATTTCCTGTCAAAAACCCTGCAACCTTCTTCAGAATATCTAAATTTAGGGAACTAATGGTGGATAGTGACACGTGGGAGAATCTACAAACCACTACATCCTAATTAAGGCTCACCAGGTTGATCTACCGGCCCAAAAGGAATGATGTTCTTCCCACTACAAGGTACCATACATCTAGTTTTATAATGACTTAAATACAGGAAGAAAGCAAACATTCTTGCTTTCTTGGGCTGCTGTTATATTACGTCCAACATAACATAATAATACTGACAGTCCAATCAAAAACAAAGATGATTTCATTTTGACATGTTTCTGTCTATCCATTCAAATTGTATTTTGACAGTATGACTAGACCTTTAGTCAAGGTTTTTCCTCTTTATTCTCATTATTGAATTTTTAGGTCCTCATGGTTATTCAGTCACAGAAAATATACCTTCATGTATGGATTATATTGAAGGTGCTCCACCATATTCAGCCTATACCAGGGCAGCTCAAGCTGCGGCAGCCGCGGTCGCTGGTAAGCTTATCTTTAGTTCTTCTGATAATTAAGATGAGGACAAAAAGATACAACCTGACTGAATATTAAAATTATTAAATTCTTGTTTACTTTTCAGAAACACTGACTACACATATGGCTATATGCACGATTCCTTACAACCACATGGATTTTATATTATATATTTGTAATATAAAAGTAACTGTTAAGAATGACTTGTTCTTTGCTCTGAGGTTTTAGTTGGCAAGTGTTTCCATGTCTCACTCGACATCACCAAAGCATAAGTGTTTCATATCCTGGACTGTGAGCATTCGCCAAAAGGAGTAACCGTTTTGCTTCATAAAGTAATACGGAGTCAGTGATCATTTGTCCTATCTCTTAATATTCTTTCAATTCACGCTGGCAGACAACAGTCACTCAGATATGTGCCTCCTTTTCATGTTGTTAAAATTTTCTGTTTTCATATCCTGTTAAAACGCTTGACTACAATGGACTTGTAATGGGTACGATCACTCGAAAGAACGAGGTATTTATTGTTGGAGATATGATGCTTGAAATGGTTTGCATCATATTGTGAAGTCTTACAATTGCTCACTTTAGGTATAACAGCTGGTTGTTAGCTGACTTATACTGTTATTCACCCAGTCTAAATATCACTTGCCTTCCTTTTTTACCTTTTGCTCCCTGATGTATTCAGACATGAGGTAAAGGATAAATGAACGGAAGTACAAATCTTTGGGAAATATCAACGATAATACAGTGTATTTATTGGTCACTGGAGGATAGCCAACCTGAAGTTCGAACCCGCGTCACCGAGCGTGGTAATCAAAGACGTTACCACTGAGCTTTTCAGGCCACGGTTGACCTCCAGTATGACTGGATTAAGTATACGGAATAATCATTGGAGGGTTACCAACTTCATGATGTCTAATCCTAAGCGCTGATTAAATTTCATAGAGCATTTTGCGATGTGGCCACCGAGCTGCGAGAATCAACACCGCGATGCACTGAAATAGATGTTAGCTGAATGGAGGCGATCGACAGAAAGCCCTGCTTTATCTAGGTTTCTTGCCTTTTGACGCTTGTCAGAAAGGCGTATCTGCAACCTCCACGGAAGTGATACCCAATAAATGTCAACAAAGCGTGTGGTTGCCTTCAGATAAATAGAGTCGATTACAATGTTTTACACAAATAATTTTGTAAATATTTGAGATATTATTAATGTATTCATCCGAAGATAACGTCATTTAATACTATATATCAAGTGGCTGTTGGAATCACAATTAACCGACGGTAATTTCGATTCAGTTTTCAATGGTCATGTGGAATGTATTCAAACTACTCTGCCTGATGCATTTTTTGTAGTCATCACTCATATTCCTGTGTTCTCTATGAAGATCATTTGCATGTGTGACAACGGCTGTTTAATTTACCAACTTGTAAAATATCCTTTACTTCTTCAGAAAACCAGTGAATAGCTTGACATCCAATATACTGAGTTCTAGTGATTATAAAAGCCACCTTAATGGCCACTGAAAAAGCCAACTTAGTTTTGGTATTTTACGAAAAACTACCTTTCCAGCTGAGACAGATAAACTTAATTAGTTAACTATGCAGTTACTAGAGTGCCGTTTCCAGGCAATCTTGTGTTCTTAGGTGAATATCATCTGTATGAAGCAGGCCGTCTGATATGTTGGCGAACTGAATAATACTGAAACATTCTAGAATGATGATCAAAGTTGGTAGAAAAGAACATAGATCACGGTTTGATTAGAAATAGTGATATTCAGGTTAGCTAACAATAAGACTTTTTAAACAGTGATGAATACTATCAACCTTAATAATAATAAAGTATTAACTTCGACTTCTAATTTCAAAAACTCGCCCACTCAGATAATTAAGGTCACTGGTTCGAATCCTGTCGCGGCGCAGATTTTCGTTCCACCTTCGATCATCACCCAGTATCAATCCAAATGAGTAAAACAACGGGCAGTTACAAGTATTAAGCAACAACTGATACCTATTGCATAAGAGGTAGTTCTCATATCCCCAGTGACCTAGTGGATAGGGCATTAACGTTCGAAGTGATGGATACTGGGTTCTAGTCCCACTGGAAATAACACTATCCACTGAGGGTGCAGGTGCGTACCGCTGATGAGTCCCAAGTGGGGCGAAACGTGAGCCGCGGACTGGGCTGCTGGTCTCCAAGATGAATATAGCATGCTGAATAATAGCCGGTGTCGGGACACTCGCATAGGAGCACACTTGCAAATAGATGTCGAGCAACTAGAAACAGGAAATTACAGGTAGTATTCAAAATCTGCTAAACCATGGTTTTCTCAGATAGCCGAACTGATAAAATGAAGGTGTCGCAATTGGTTTAGTTCTCTCCAGCAGAAACAAAAACAATACAGAGCTGGCTAACCGTTATTGATGCAGCCATTGCATGACTTACCTTTGATTACTTTCAGTTACCTTATTAGAAGAAAGACCTTAGGACATGCTGGTGACAACCACAGCTCAATACTGAAATTATACATTCATAAATCAAAGAAAGATATATGCACGCTGATTTTTTGATAAAAACGCACAAGTAAACAATGCAATGTAAACTTTCTTTTTATCCAATGTTTAATTATTTGTCGTTTATTGACTACAGGATTCTCAAATCATCCAACAACTAACGATGTTTACTTAGCAGCTGCTGCAGCTGCTGCAGCTTCAGTTGGTTTCAGTAATGTTGTTGGAAATGATTCATCAAATCAAGATCATCTGAATCATTTCCCTAGTGGTAACCATAGTAACCAATGTGTTGGTGGAACCCCACCTAAAGCTAATTCAATGGATTCGCTTATGATACCAACAGATTATAGACTTTCAGATAGTATTCACAGCACAAATAACCGTTTGCCGCATTCATTATATTCAGATGACATGAATGAGACGCCAACAAACTTATCCTCCTCTCTGTCAACAACTTGTAGCGTGTTTACAAATAATCCATTCAATAGTACTGGTGCAGACTGTGCAACACTGAATAGTGCATATAGTAACAGTGATCCGAATCGCAATCATCATTATCAGCATCAGAATAACAACAGTAATAGTATTGGTTATCCGATTGGGATGCCGTATTACCATTCATTTGACTCACGGAACGGATATCCATTGAACAACCTTTCATATAGTAATTACAGCTCAAACAATTCGGCCATTTCCAGTCAATTTGATTTACTTTCTACGCTACCGACTAATCACACTTCTAATCTAATATCATCGCATTGTAATGTAACACAAGCCACACCAACAGCGTACTCACCGAGAAGTCATCGTATAAATGATACGGACGGTAGTAATAGTGGTATGATTCATGCTGAAGATCTTTTGGTCCCGAATATGCTCAACACTGCTAATCCCAACGCAGTAATTCACAATAGTACTATATCCAATGACTCCATTATGGGAACAAATTCATTGATAACCGCATCCTTTTCACTAATAGCTAGTAGAAATGATAACGAGGACGATGTGGATGAAGTTGAAAAGATAAGCATGAAATCCTCTCGTTTAGGTGTAAACAGTCCAACAAAATGATTGACAGACAATCCAAAAAGAAAGAAGATTATTTCAAACACTTCATCGGTTCATCTTTCTCTTTTCATAGCTGTAAAGTTGGGCAATTCTTTTTCAACCTTTTATCTTTCATGACTTCTATCATATGTTTACCGATAATTTCAAACAGAAGAGAACAGTTTTTCTCTTCTTCCTCTTCTTCTTTGGGTGTTTGAACAGACAGATTCTGCAGCAGGGGTGAAACGGAACCAGTGATTACGTCTACAGGGAGAAGTATATACTTGAATCCACTTGAAATCGATACACTTCACATTTTCTGAGAGTGCACTTCAATTCTACTGTTCTATAGTTCATTCATATTCATCTAAGATCTAATTATTAGTGATTTGTATTAACACGAATCTATTCTTTATTGAACACCAGTCTGACAGGTTTGCTGTATTTGCTGTATTCAATAACTTATAGGAATGAAAGGAAGGGGGTATAAATACACCAAAGGACAGTTTAAATTTCAATTAAATTTCTGTGAAAAGTTTCTTGAACTTTCAACAACTATTCACCCGACTTCAAGACGTATCATGTGGAAATATACTCATTCCTTTTCAATCAATGGAAAACCGTCAAAAAATAAACTGTTTCACTTGCTTATTCACTTGCACACAGAAATACATTCAATGCAGGATATAAGTTTTTCGGCATTATTTTATCTTTAAAAATTAACTAACGTTTATATACATGAATGTTTATATATATATATATATATATATATATATATATATATATATATATATATATACATGATACTGGGAAGTCTCCTTGATTCTTACTTTCTTCAGTTGTCAATCTCTTCCTTCTTTCTCTTTTCTGGGACTTCTTTAAATAAGTTTGATAGTTATAAATAATACACAACAAAAAAGCAACAATAACAACGGTAATATTATGGTAACTTCTGATAAGGATGCAATAGTGTAACAAAATTAACTGAATCACAACACTGCATTTCTTCGCTATTTGTTCTTTAAATCGAATTACTAAATACTGATACGTGGGTTTTCGGGTTCCTAGTCCCCTACCATTGTAATATTATGCAGTAGTAGTAACAGTCCGTCGAAATTGCCTTCCTTACAACTCCGCTGATCCTAAGTGAAATCTCTTCATAAATAGAGAAATAAGAAAAAAATTTAATGCAGAAAGCTCCATGGTGAGCATTAAAATCAATGTCTGTTGTTTTGAATGTATAGGTAACAGCTTTTTATAAAGTGACAGACACCTGTGGTAAAATATCTACGCAATATTTCATGATTTTAAATGTTTATTCAGGTGATGCAATATATTAATTATCCCTCGAATATCGGGGATAGCCGTGGTTTGGCAGACTAGTATTTATACTGGATGATGATTGGAGGTGAAATGAAAATTTGGACCGCGTCCGGGTCCGAACCAGCGACCCCCCGGGGTAATAAAGTAGTGAAAATGAACTGAAATAAATATAGTTTATGGATTCCCTGGATTTAATAGCACTCAAACACATCATTTGTTTTACTTTGTGAATATCCTACAAGTGTAAATTGAGATGTGGAGAAAGAGGAGTGCATGATGTAATGTGTGACTGATTTTCCTTGTAATGACTAATCGGAAGTATGGGACTTCTATAAGATCTGACTTCAGACATGAATGACGAACCCAAAACTGGACAAAATATGAGCACAACTTTCAACTGGTCTCGCCTACAATATTACTAAAAATACCAGGAGTGCTATCACTATAAAGTCACTAAATAATCCTTTAGTCGATTTTACTGTATAAATGAGTGGTGCTTTCCACAATCAGAGGTCAATACTGACATATTCGAAAAAATTATACCAAGACAAAGGGTTTGGTTTGGTTTTTTAGACCCCATTGAAACTATTTGAAAAGGATGATAGATCAGAATGTCAGTGAAGGATAACTTCCCTACTAATATATATAGCCTATGTCCAATGTCTTTACTTACCCATAAGACCTGGTAGGTGATCATGGGGAATCTTAGTTATGTTACACAGTTCATGCTTAAAAACCCGGTTAGCTGAACCTCTGACAGAATACTCACTCCCTTTCTTTTTTATAAGTACTAAGCACTAATACGTAGAATTATTCACCGAAGATTTACCTGACCACTAAAGAAAGTGAGTAAAAGGACTGCGAGAAATCACGGACCATGAACAGTTGTTCTGTCCTAATTAGGAACTTATTAGTAGTGTACGCACAAAAACAGTGGAATAATAAACCCGATACTAAAACAGAGCACACCTTTAGTGCCATGACAATCCAATTTATTCATCAAAGGATGCTCTCTGGTTAATAAAGCAAATTTTAAGCCACTCAAATTTCTACTTTACAAAAACTAAAACCAACCTGAAAGTAAATTATGACGTAGTGCTGTTTACTTAAAGGTTTTAAGAAGGATATCTCAATGTTCGAATTAGAAGCCCTGAAGTTTAGGATCAACTGAGTTAGAAGTGAGGTAGATGCTAACTGGGAGCTGAGAACCGTTGAACTGCAACCCAGTGGGTGAATGATTAGTGCATTTGCAGCGAGACTTGAGGATCTCGAGTTCGACCCCTAACCAGGTCTCACGTGTTTACTTCTTAGGAGTCCCAAACCAGGAGGAAACAGATGTCCGGGGCTTCTACGTTTGCAGTGATTCCCCAACTGATTTCATTCTTTGATGAACATTATCTTAAAACAAAATCCATATAAAAGTAAAGTAACAAAAAATTAATTACCTGTTCATTCTTGCAATTCTTGATGATTGCTAGTTACTTTAGAACATACAGAGTTTACAGTGACCATACATGTTAGTTGATCCCACTGTAGAATGCTGAAATCATACTACAAACCGCCTGAATTTAAAAACATTCCATTCACTGGTTCCGGGTACTTTAATTCGCCTGGGAAGACATCCATCGATTTTAGTTCCAATTTCAGGAAGGCATTCAGCGTTTCTGAAGTGGTAAAATTTTAAACCGATCCGACACAGGTTTTTGGTACATGATTAACTTCAGATGATTTTTAACTGCTATCAACTCTTAACGAAAACTCTTTCAAGCGACTAACTGCTCTCTAAAACCCATAGAAATAGCTACTACTTGCTTAACTGCGAATATTTGAAAACTTTATGCTTATGTGATTTATTGCTGTTCATATTGACATTGTCACGAAATTAAGATTCCTATGGTATGCACAAGGTGAAGTTTATTATTTTTGGAAGAGAAGGTTGACATTTTTCATCCTGTAAAAGCGTATATATATATATATATATATATATATATATATATATATATATATATAACAGCTAATTTCCTCAAAATTGATTCCGTATGTGTACAAATATAAATATTTATAAATTATCTTGACGGGGAGATAGGCCTAGACATACCACAAAAACACTGTTGAAGGTCGATGTCATACACTCTTTAAAAAAGGGTTTTGCTCTTTTTCATAAGAATATAAAGTCACTCAGAGGAAGACAGGGAAAGAGAGTGACAACTTTACTGAGAGGGCAGTCATATATGAGAGAGGTTACCGGGCGAATTGGGAAACACACAAACATGCATGAAAGCACATTACAGAAGAGTCAACTATAAATGCATTAATTGTTTATTCAGTATTGTCTTGAATTTGACAACTGTATATGATACTTTGTTTTCAAAACAGAATATTTATGTATGAACAAAATAAATGCTTAGTGGGAACTGCTAAGTCCATTCCTCCACAAAATCATGTGAATATGATAGTGAATACGGAAACAGGCAGGGAGTCAGTAGGTATAAGCATGATGATGGTGATTTTGGCGTCAGCTTTTTTTCACAGGACTCAGACATGATGTCAACTATTTTGGCTGAATTATTTCCAATATAAATTGATATTAACAATAATATCACTTAATTTTAAATCCATTTTTATTGATGTAAAGGGATTAAATATCTCATAAACTAAAATGAAATTGATAAAGCAACTTAAACTTTTATTTGTGTGAAAGAAAGAGCGTGGCGTTTGTTGACAAGAACACCTGCAAGGAGGTAGAATCAGATTTCACATTCATCACATATAAGGTCCAGTTTCGTAGTAAAGTGATCAAAGGATTTATGCCATCTTCTGCATTAGATGTAGCTATATCCTGCAGTTAATCTGAATTGTCCTAACAGTGATGTCAAGGCATCAGAGGACTATTGATGACTGTGTTTCATTTCTAACATGAAAAATCAAATGGAATGAACCATCGTTTTGTATCAGTTACCTCAATATCACTTTGGTACACAAGATCGAGTTGTTCTCGTACCCCAGTGGCCAAGTGGATAGTGTTTTGACATTTGAAGCCATGGGCGCTGGGTTCGAGTATCCGTGGGGACAAAATTACTCACTGAGGGTCCAGGTATATTCAGCTAACGAGTCCGGGATAGGACGAAATGCGTATCTTTGATCTCACTGCTAGTCACTAAGATAAATACCTCAATCTCCGTTTCCCATTTCCCATGCACATTAGACTTTAACGACCACTGGAGCATGTCATCTATAAAGCTTAAGGTTCAAAAACTTGACTTAATTTGCTCAGTTGTATAGTGAGCTGACCACACAAGACGTATGAAATGGAACAAACAAAACGTCTTGACATAGAAGCAAATAATGTTTAGTTTCTCAGAAAGTCAAATCGACATTACACCACCTGTAACTTTGACAGATAATGTGTTCGAGAGATGGTTAGTGAAGTTTGATATTGCTGACGAACAGAGAGGTGAGAAATACAGAAATATAATCGTCAAATAGTGACTGAACAAGCATATGAATCAGCTATTCTATGGCTTTTACACCTATTTAAATTATATTCTGAAAAAGAGAAAGGAGATTTTCCCATCAGTTACCGCGACGTTACTTTAACGGATATAGTTAGAGTAGGCTTCGTTAAATGCCTAAATAAATGGGCGAAATTGCCTACTGTTAAGATAGAAAATCTACAACAAGAAATTAGACACATCAAGAAT